TCATCATCATCATCAACGCACCCGCCACGACTACCATCCTGCTCCTCCTCCTTCTCCTGCTCCTCCTCCTCCTCCTCATGATCATGATCATGATCGTCGTCGTCATTATGGTGTTCCTTATCCTCCCTTCCCTCCTCATCCTCCTCAGCCTCCTCCACCTCATCCTCCTCCGCCTCATAATCATCACCAGCAGCATCGGCATCAACATACTCCTGATCATCGTCATCATTAGCATCATCATCGTCATCATCATAATCATCAGCAGCATCAGCATCATCATCATCCTCAGTCGCATCCTCATCACTCATCATCATCATCATCATCATCATCATCATCATCATCATCATCATCATCATCATCATCATCATCAGCATCAGCATCATCATCATCATCATCATCATCATCATCATCATAATCATCATCAGCATCATCAGCAGCAGCATCATCAGCATCATCAGCATCATCATCATCAGCATCATCATCATCATCATCAGCATCATCATCGTCCTCATCCTCATCCTCCTCCTCATCCTCATCCTCATCCGCATCCTCATCCTCATCCTCATCCTCATCCTCATCATCATCATCTTCCTCCTCTTCGTCATCATCAGCATCAGCATCGTCATCATCACCAGCAGCTCGAATCATCAACATCATCAGCATAATCATCCTCATCAGCATCGTCATCCTCATCATCACCAACATCATCAACATCATCATCATCATCATCATCATCATCATCATCATCATCATCATCATCATCAATTATCATCAGCATCATCATCATCGTCATCCTCATCACCATCCTCATCATCGTCATCATCATCAGCAGCATCAGCATCAGCATCAGCACCAGCATCATCGTCATCATCATCATCAGTTTCGTCTTCATCGTCGTCCTCGTCGTCGTCTTCGTCGTCCTCGTCGGCCTCGGCGGCTTCGTCGTCGCCGTTATCAGCGTCATCGTCATCGTCATCGTCCTCGCCTTCGTCATCAGCATCACCACCATCATCATCATCAGCATCAGCATCATGATCATCAGCATCAGCATCAGCATCATCATCACCATCATCATCGTCCTCGTCATCAGCATCATCACCATCCTCATGCTAAGCATCCCTCATACCGCCTCCTCATCATCCATCTTCGCTTTTCCTTTTGGTCACAGTGGCATTGGGGAGTGAGGGGAAGGTCCAGGCCCAGCTCGGAGAGGATACTGGCTGGGACGCCGCCCCCTGCGACATCAAACCTGCCTATAGCGCCTGCTTATCCTCGTTCCCCTCCTCCTCCTCCTCCTCCTCCTCCTCCTCCTCCTCCTCCTCCTCCTCCTCCTCCTCCTCCGTTTCCTCCTCCTCCGCCTCCTCCTCCTCCTCTCATCATCATCCTCCTCCTCCTACTCTTTCTCCTCCTCCTCCGTTTCCTCCTCCTCCTGCTCTTCCGCCTCCTCCTTCTCCTTCGCCTCCTCCTCCTCCTCCTACTCCTCCAACCCCTCATGATGCCCGTACCCCCCCCCCCCCATCCCACTTCCAAACCCCAACGCTCCTGCCACTCTTCGCTATCCTCCTCGTCCCCCTGGTCCTGCTCCTGCTCCTCCTCCTCCTCCTCCTCATCATCATCATCATCATCAGCAGCAGCAGCACCAGCATCATCATCATCAGCATCATCATCAGCATCAGCATCACTAACGTCATCATGATCGTCATCATCATCAGCATCAGCAGCATCAGCAGAATCATCATCTTCATCCGAATCATCAGCATCTTCACCATCAGCAGCAACAGCATCATCTTCATCAGCATCACCGTCCTCATCATCATTATGAGCCTCATAATCCCCATCATCATCTTCATTATATCATCATCATCACCATCATCATCAACGACAACAACAACAAACTCGGCACAGCGATCATCATCAGCAGCAGCATCATCAGCATCAGCATCATCATCAGCATCAGCAGTATCATCATCAATATCATCATCATCAGCATCATCATCGTCCTCCTATTCATCATCATTATGATTAGCATAATCCCCATCATCGGCATCGTCATCATCATCAGCATCAACATGATCATCATCAACATCATCATCATCGTGAGCACCATCAACATCATCATCATTGCCATCATCATCAGCATCATCAGCATCATCATCATCCTCTTCCTCCTCCGCATCCAGCGCCTCCTTCTGATCATCCCTCTCTTCTTCTCTCCTTACAAAGCGCGCAAGAATCCCTCGGGATCTAGCACGAGGGCTCGGATGTGCGAAATCTAGGCCAGTCGCGTAAATCGAATGGTGGGCCAATCCAGAGCATTCAACGCTGGTGGGCGACATCTGCTGATCCTGTCCCTCATCTTCCCGTTGTTCCTCCCTACCCTCGCCCTCCTCCTCCTCATCCTCCTCCGACCCGCCCTACCCCTCATAAAGCCCTTCCCCCCTCCTCATCCCACTTCAAACCCTAGTGGTCCTGCCATTCTTCCATATCCTCCTCGTCCTCCTCGTGACCCTCCTCCACAATCACACAATATACCCTGTAACACCCCTCACGGGGGTAGAAACCAACCGGGTGCAGTTCACTCCGTGGAGCGTCGTGTTGTCTCCTCCTCCACTGGACCCTCCACTCGTGTTCTTGCGCCAGACGTCCACCCCTGATGCTCTCGGAAGTTTCCACAAGGTTCGCAGGTGGTCAGAACAATGCCCCGAACATCGAAGACTAAGTTATTCAAGGTTTCGTCTTCGACTCTTTTCCCAGAGCCCCGACGTGGTGTCTTGTTCATCGTGTCGGGGCCCTTGTTGTCGTGAAATTATCCTCGGAGGGCCCCTTTGTGACGCTCCCGAGAGAGGGGAGGAGGGAGGAAGGAGGAGGGAAGGAGGAGGGAGGAGGGAGGAGGACGGATGGGGAGGAGGCGGATCTCGCGCACGGTGCTATCGGAGCCATCGAGGCTACGAATGAGGTAGAAGGAGGAGGAGGAGGAGGACGAGGAGGAGGCGGAGAAGGAGGAGGAGAAAGAGAAGGAGAAGGAGGAGGAAGAGGGGGAGGAAGGATTTGAAGCAGGACGGATGAGGAGAAGGATGACGACGACGAGCAGGAGGAGAGGGAATGACGCCCGTCCTGGAGCCTCTTGGTGTCGCCTTGGCTCTCCTAGAGCGTGCTGGGGGTCCTGTGGCCTGTTTGGGTTCTTCGGGGCCTCTTGGAGCCTCCTGGGCCCTCTGGAGCTCCCTGAGTGTAATTCAAAGTGTGTCCTCCGGGGGGCTCTTGAGATCTCGTGGGTTCTCCCGGGGCCGCCATGGGCCCTCCTGGAGCCTCCGTGGGCCCTCTAAGAACTCTCTCGCGGGGGCGGAATGATGAAAACAATTTCACGCATGGGGGCCTTTCCGTTGAGAAGGGGGGCGCGGTGCAGAGTGGGTCCTCCTGGGGCCCTCCGGAGATCTCCTAGGCACTCCCGGGGCCGCCATGGGCCATCCTGGAGCCTCTAGGGGCCTCTAAGAAGCCTCTCGCGGGGGCTGAAAAATGACGACAGTTTCACGGATGGGAGCCTTTCCGTTGAGAGGGGGAGCGCGGTGAAAGGTAATAAAGTGACGACAGTGTCGCATTTGAGGCCCCAAATCGTCTTTGGGCACCTCGGGCGCGAATCCCGCTCCCGCATAGTACGGTGCGATTTCCCCTCCCCCCGCTGTCCCGCCGGACCCCGGGAAGGTGATTTTTGTAGTTTTCGCTTGTAAGAAACACTTCCCCCCCCTTTCGACGGTGACGGAGGGCAGGCGGCGGGGGTGGGCGGGTTGGCGGGGTGGCGGGTTGGCTGGGGTTGCGGGGTGGCTGGTTGGGCTGGTTGAGCCGGTGGGTGGCTGGTTGGTTGGGCTGGCTGGTTGGGCTGGCTAGGGCATTTGGTTTCGATGAATACCTCCTCTCTCCCCTGACTCTGTCTGGAGACTGTCCCATCCTATCCACGTACTGCTACTTTTAGACACAGGATTTGATTATTTGGTTTGTTCCTGTGTTTTTTTTAAGATGGTCGTTTCTGATTCTTCCAAAATGGTGCTCCCGCTGCAACGCCGCCCTCATTTCCGCGCTTCGGTCATTCAAAATCGTGCTCCCACTGCAGCGCTTGGGTCGTTCCCGCGCCTCCGGACAGTGCTTGGCATTCGAAAGCGCCCACATCGGGCAAGCACGGTTGCAGAAAACATGGAGCCAGCATTCTGGACAGGCCCTGGCCTCTCGTAGACGGGCCACTTACCCCCCAAGTCATCCGGTGCGATGCCTCGGCATGCAATGCGATCCTGTGTAGTGCACCGCTGTGGGATGCGATGCTTTGCGTTGCTATGCTTTGTGATGCGATGCTTCACTACGCAATGCCACGTCATGCTATGACATGCTATGTTCTGCCATGCTCTTCTACGCCATGCTTTTCCATCCATCGCGTACCCTCTTGGGATCATTGCCCTGCTCGATATCCGACTGTGCGAATAGATGGGAGATCTACGCCACGGTAAGGGATGGGAGGGAGGGGTAGGACGTCAGATGTGACGCTAGCGCACCTAGCTTGTCCTCCTCCCCTTCCCCCTCCCCCCCCTCCTCCCCACCCTGCCCCGTGGTCCGCCTCCTCCGCAATGACCCACCTATTCCACAGCATTTTCGTCCTCGTCTCCCGTCGCTCCGACGACTACTGCTCGTGATGTGCATCCTTGCTGTCCTTTGCTACTCCCCTCTCGTCTACATACCTACACCCGAACACTGTGTGACTCAGCTTCTACGTATCCAACGCTGTTGCGTGGTGTGAGAAAAATGATTGAGCTGCGCAATGCCATCGCGCTTCACGACCGTGCGGGCTGCATACCCGCCTCACTTCATATCAAGGTGCTCACTGTCCGTCCAGATGTCCATCCATCGACCGATACGATTACCTTACAGACCACTGTTCGGGCAATAAACCAGTTGGATGGGCTGGGGAACGTGCATGCCTATGTGCATCTCGATCAGCATGTCGGTTAGCAGCTCGATTTGCATTTCGACGCGTTGACTTGAAAGTTGATTGAACGTGTATGCATTCATGTCGCAGTGTATGTCGAGTTGTGCGAATCAGTGTTCAGGTTGGATGTCATCTTGAGAACAAGTAGAGTTGCGTTTCGATTCACGGCTCGATGCGCGGTTCGTCTCCCTTTCGCAATGCACTTCCATGTGAAGATTCGACTTGCGTTTCGAATTGCAAGTCGACTGCGATTGGATGTGCATTGTGGGTTGCATTCCGCATTGATGATTTGACAGTGGATTACCATGTCGATATGTATCTCAATCGTAATTAAAATGGCATTACGAGTGGCATATCGATTCGAATGTCACTTGCAGCAGGATTTGCAATGGGATTTGCATTGCAACTCGAGTGCACCTTATGCTTTTAATTGACATGTGCATCTCGGCGCACTTCGTTTTCACTTGGATGTGTACTTATGTGCATTTCGCACGGGAAAAGCACGGGACGACCATGGGAAATCCGGGACAACCCAAAGAACAACCCACAAGACAACCGCAGGACAAACCATGGGACAACCGCGGCACAACCCTCGGTACAACCAACGGGTTTACCACGGAACAACCCACGGGACAACCCACAAGACAACCCACGGGACAACCCACGGGACGACGGCGGGACAGCCTTCGCCTTGGCGGACACATCACGGCCATCGCGCAACTTGCCCCTCCCGCACGCACGACACGAATCGTAACCTCTTTCCCAGCTGAGGCCACTTCGCTGACACACCCAAACCTGGGACCAATAGATGCGCATACAATTCCGTCCACCCATCCTTTCCGACATCAACCTGTAATTTCCCAGCCTCTGTCGGTCAGTCGGTTGGTATGTTGGTCTGTCTAGTTACGCAGTTTGCTCGTTGAGTATGTTTGTCTGCCAGTACGTGTCTATTTTATCTCTCTCTCTCTCTCCCTCTCGTCCTCTCTCTCTCTCTCTCTCTCGCTCGCTCGCTCGATCACTCTCTCTCTCTCTCTCTCTCTCTCCGACTCTTTCCATGTCTCTCCATCTCGCTCTTTTTCTGCATATCCGTTTCTATCCACCCACCCCTCCCCCAACTTATCCCTCTCCACCACGCTTCCCTCCTCAGTCCCAGACCCCACACACCATGATCACAAGTGGACCCCCAGCTCGACAGGAGCCCCAAGAGCCTGGCGAGGGCCCCCAAGAAGGCCGAACATGGCAAAAACCTCCCGTGGTTACTTCTTCACGACGCGAGGGAGTCTGGGGGTGCTCTCCCTGGAAGAAAAAACAAAAACAAAAAACCATAAACTTTTGGCGCTCCGCGCGGATTTCTTGGATTCGCGCTGAAGCCCCCCTCCCTGGCGCGCGGAGCGCGCCAGGGGCAGCGCAGGAGGCGCCGCTGGGGGGCCCAGACGCGGATCCAAGAAATCCGCGCGGAGCGCCAAAAGTGTACGTTTATGTGTTTTCTTCTTCTTCTTCTTCTTCGACTCATGTTATTTCTTCACTGCGCGAGAGGAGCTCCTGGATGTCCTCGCCGAAGCCCTCGTCCAGCAGGCGGTCGCCCTCGTCGAGCACCAGGCGCACGATGCGCCCCAGACGCAGAGCTGAAAGGAAAGGGGGGGTCGGGGCGAGGGGGGGAAGCTTGGGAGCGGCCAAGAGGGGGGTGTCCAAGAGGGGGGGTGCAAATCATGACCGGCGGCATGTGCGTGGCCCAGCGGGGGGGCCAGGGACACAATGAAATAAGAAGAGGCGCCATGAAATCTGGGGAAATATCGTGGCCCACGCCATGATATCCATCCCCCCCTAGTCATCACCCCCCTCTTTCCCGCCCCCGAGAAGCAGGGCAGTGGCGGGAACGGTGACAAATATCTTTGCACCGGCCTTACAGACGTGCTGCAGCGGACTTCTGCGTAGACTTCCGCGTGGGTGTTTGCCCGAAGCGGCGAGCGAAAAACGAAGTACGTCTCGCGTGGATTTGGGGAGTATCATTCCTGGCCCAACAAAATCCGCAAGAACTTCATCTCGAAATCCAGAACGAAATTCTCCGGGACCCTCCGGGCCAATCCTATCGTTTTCCGAACGAAATCCGCTCTGCGATGTTGGCGCCATGAGCAGTGGCGGGAACGGTGACAAATAGTCATGGTGGTGCCCACAAAGCAGGATGCGACTCTTGGGAGGTCTTCAGAAGAACGATCGAGTCCGATTAAGCCCGATCAAACGACATGAAGCCGAACTAGCCCAAATCAGGCCCAAGGTTAAGCCGTATTGAGCGGAATCCAACGGGATTGAGCCAGAGTAAGCCGGACGATGCCGGATGAGGCCGTTTTTCGACCGCAGATATAGCAGCGCCGATTCTGAATTTAACCTCCCAGGAGTTGTATCCTGACACATGAGGTAGCGTTGGGAAGGGAGGCTTCTCAGAAGGCGGAGGGGCTTCTTAGAAGGCACACGCCTTCTCGGAAGGCCAAGCAGGCTTCTAAAAAGCCTCGTTTAGAAGTCTCTGGGGCCACCTAAGAAATATCCACCGCTGTTTGGCTCAAGGTTAAAGCAAACAGCCCACGGACGCACTTTTGTACTGATTCTGTGATCGCTGCGACCCTCGCAGGCCGCACTGGAAAACAAGCTCACAGTCCATCGCCGCTGCCGTGTCGAATCCGTCCCAAAAGTGTGCACGGTGAGGCGCGTGGGTCAAATCATCCCTGGTCGGCGCTCACCCGGGGGTGCCTCCTTGCACGACCACATCAGGCAGAGGTGTAGTAGTACAGGAGGTGCACGCTCAGGGGGGTGGAAGAGTATGGATGCCGCCTTCCAGAGGAGGAGGAGGAAGGAGGAGGAGGAGGAAGGAGGAGGAGGAGCAGCAGTGGGAGTAGGAGGAGGGTACATATGAGGAAGGGTGCCGAACAGCAAGTGAAGGGACGAGGCTGGGGAAGAAGAGCAGAGGGAAGGGAGGAAAGAGGCGGACGAGGGAGGACGACCCAGCCCTGGCACCCACCACCAGCGCCGCCGCGCCGCCGCCACCCTCGCCACCCCGCCGCCCTGGGAGCCCCACGTCTCTTCCTGTCGCTGGCACGCGTGCTGTGCCCTGCTTGTGCGCCTCCGTCCCCCCCCCGTCCAGCAGGCACTGCAAGCCCTTCATTCTGACATCCTCCTCCTCCTCCTCCTCCTAATCCTCCTCCTCCTCCTCCTCCTCCTCCTCCTCCTCCTAAGCCTTCTCCTCTCCTCCTCCTCCTCCTCCTCCTCCTCCTCCTCCTCCTCCTCCTCCTCCTCCTCCTCCCCTCCTCCTCCTCCTCCTAATCCTTCTCCTCCTCTTCCTCCTCTCCTCGTCCTCCTCCTACATGCCTCCTCTGAAACGCCCACCTCCTCCTCCTTCAACGCTCCTCCTCCTCCTCTTCTCTCCTCCTCCTCCTCCTCCGCCTCCTCCTCCTCCTCCTCCCACTCCTGTCGATGATTCTGAAATTGCTGGCTCTTCCTGGCCCTCATGAGGCCTCCTGGGACCTCCGTGGATCTCCAGAGGTACACGTCGCCGCCCACATGGCCCCCGCCCGGCTCACACGCAGGTTCCCCGACGCCCGCTTAGTTGTTGCGGGTTGCCTCTCTCTCACACACACACACACTCCCACTTAGCCCATCCAGCACTCGACCTCACTTTGCTTGCGAGGCTTACGATTGAAGCCGCCGACCCAACTGTTTTTCTGCATAAGATGAACCCTCTCCCACCTGGCCCCCACCTCGGACCCCCGCCCCACCATGGATAACTCCAGTGGCTGCCGACCTAACACAATGCGTCCCCCCCACCCACCCACACACACAACACCACCCCAGTAGAAATCAATGCGAAGTGCACGCTGCGACAAACGCCAGGCCATGTCACGCGCGGGCGCCTCATCGTCGTGTTGCTTTGATGTTTGACGAGGACGGTGGGGAGTGAACACAATGTCTGCTGCATGCTGGCCCACCAACCTCGATTGAAAAAACGATGCAATGTGGCCAAGGGTGCATGAACCATGCGCGATGCTAACCAGCATGCCGCCACTGTGCATCAGTTGTTGAACTGGATAGTGGGGCTGTCGACAGTCGCGTCGCACACGCGACGCACATGGCGCGCCTGGCGCGCCTGGCGCCCTGGCGTCGGCATCAGTTCACAGTGGCCGTCCATCGGATCGTGGTCGCTGCCCATGCTGAGTCTCGGGAGATACTTATGTGGTGGGATGGCGGGTGAAATGCGCAAGGCAACTTACGGCGCGGCGTTCTTGTTGGGAACCCGAGCTCCCTGTAGCCAGCTGGGGCAACCAGGAAAAACTGGCCGTCATCTGCACCAGGACAGCTCCCCGAGCGTCCTCTCATTCTGGGCATCGTGTAAGCGATCCCCATCCCCACTGGCATGGCCTGGGCCCCACTGGCCGATTTGGCCCCATAGATGGGGATATAGGCTACTCCATGCGGGCTTCGAGAGGCATATCCCCAAATGAGGTGGTGGAATGATGGGCTGAGATGCCGTGGCCAGTGGGAAATGGGAATATGTTAAACCATACTGACGTCCGTCCACCCCCCCTTCCAACCTGTCTGCATGGAGCCATCTGTCGAAGTCTTGAGCCGATGCTGGCCAAGCTGTGAAGTGGGGGGGGGGAGAGCGGGGGGTGGTGGATATGAGTTGGATATGTTCCGTCTCCAGCCTCGGTGCTTCGGGGCTACGCGTATCTTCGTCTTCTGCGCTGAGGCTACTCTACTGTGTTTGATTACGTGGCGCCGGTACAAACCCGTCTAGTCTCACTAGATATTCTGCTAATTGCACTGCCGGCCTTTGCTAACAGGCTTTCGGTTTCATCAGCGTCGCAATCCCATCCAGAGTCCCTCCCGCCTCGCGGCCTTCCCTCCGCCCTGTCCCCACCGCTGGCCTCACCCTCGCCCTCCCCCCGAGGTCGCCTGAGGCGGGCGCCTCGCGCGCTTCCCCGGGCGCCGCGCGGGCGCGCGAGGAGGAGGGCAGCTGCCCGCACAGCGCGCGCAAGCGCCCTGGGCTGGGTCTGGGGCGTGCTCCTCCGCCCCCCATCTGCCTCCCATCGGCGGCGAACCCGGGGGGGAGGAGGTGTACGGGGGCAGGCCTCCCCGGAAGGCGGCGGGGCCTGGCTTCTCGGAGGGCCCCCGGCCTTCTGAAAAGTGCTCCGCGTCTTCGGGGAAGGCCCAGCTCACTTCTCACACGACCCGCCCATTTTCACTTCCCCTCTGGGCTCGCCGCCAGCCTCCCTTCGCTCACACACACACACACACACACACACACACACACACACACACACACACACACACACGCACACGCACACGCACACGCACACGCACACGCACACACACACACACACACAAACAACAAAAAAAACGCCCGTCTAAGACGTTAAGGGGGCACGGACTCTGGCCAACTGAGGGTAACAGACACACCACACACACACACAAAAAAAACAGGCAAACAAAAGCCCGCCCGTCAAAGACGTTAAGGGGGCACGGACACTGGGCAACTGAGGGTAACAGACACACACCACACACACACACAGACGACAGCGAACGGGAAGTTCCCCCCTTCCCGTCCTGCCACACTCTTGGGCGTCGCGGCCACGCGCGCGGCGGCGCGGCGCAGGCAGCCGAAGGAGGCGAGCGCGCGGCCGGGCCAGCTGACGCGGGGGGGGAACCAGGGACCCCCTCCCTGACATTCACAGTTTCACATTTTTCTCCATCGGCGGCGTAGAAGAGCCTCAGGCGCGGTCGGCAAGTGGAGGCGCCCATTCCGAACGAACTCAATCGAACGCGCCATGATGAAAGAATCCAGCCACGGCCATGCAAATTAGTGGTGGGAAAAGCGAGGCGCTGCCAAGCCAGGATGCAGCGGCCAACGAAACCGCCGAGTGGAAGGTCAACGCAACAAGCTGAAACACAATCAGAAGTCTGGTGCGAACTAGAACCTCCAGAAGCGACAACAGACGGACTGCAGGATTGCCAGACCAGCCAGATTGGTGGCGACGCTTGGCACGCAAGAGCTGCGCGACAAAGCGACGCCACCGGCCTTGCAACAAGCACGACAAGAGCGCCGTGCAACAGAATGCAAGAAGCCAGCGTGGAAAAGATGGCCACGCGGCTGAAGCTGACATGGCCTTGGGCAACGAGAACCAAAGCTGGACGCGGGCGACCGCGAGCAGTAACGCGGCGGTGGACAGCGCGAGCAAATGCATGGGTGGTGGACAGGCGCGAGCGTGGCCAACGTGCAGTGCAGACACCACTGTGAAAACAGCAACCCCATCGGAGCCAAAGCCGCGAAGAGCTACCATGATTAGGTGGAGGCAACCACCTAGGCTCAATAGAGAGGGTACGCGTCCCCTCAAGGTCGCACCACCCCGACCAAAGGCGACAAAGTGAAAATAAAAACGAGCAAAGCGAGCCCACCACAGACGACGCCAATGATGAATGCCCGCAGTCAAGCTGATATGCAGCTGAAGCCAACAGCGGATGCGAACTGCAGCCCCAGGCCCCAGGTGCGAATGCGCACCCCAGATGCAATGCAGGAAGCAAACACAGAAAACAGGCCACGGCCATGCCAGCCAGCACCACGTGCCGAGGCGCAAGCAGCAAGGTGGTAAAGCCGCCGCTGGGCAAGCTGCCACACGGAAAAAGGCGCCGACCACGAGTGGCGCCCGAGGAAATCGCCACGCGCAACCCTGGGGGCGCAAGAACGCCAGTGCACCAGCCAGCACGAGAGGTGCAAGGCACCGCCCGGCCGCGCCCCCGAGAAGCACCCTTCGGACAGCCCCCCGGGACCCCCAGGCCTCCCCCGCTAGCAATACGTTCTCCTCTTGACGCTGCGGACGGCCCCACTAGCCTCGCGGCGACCCCCAACGCGGACAAAAAGGCCAGAGGACGGCCTTCAAATGGTCCCAACACGGCACAAGCACGACCCGACAGCCTCCCAACGAGAACCCCAGCAGACGCTCAGGAGGGCCGCGAGATACAAAAATCGGCCATGTCCTCCGGGCTCCTCCTGATGACTTCTAGCGTCTCCGTTTTTTTTCTGGACCCCCACACACCGCGAAAGTCCCACGAGCTTCCGAGACATCCCCAAAACGGCCCAAGAAACACCCAAGACGGCCCCCGAGACGGCCGAAGACGACACCAACACATCCCAAGACGGCCCAAGGGAGCACCCAGACGGTCCAAGACGGTCCCAAAGCAGCCCCCGAGGACCCGAACGCGCCCAGGAGGGCCCTAAGACGGCGCAAGAAGCCCCCAAGCCACCCCTGAGGCCTCCAACACACCCCCAAGAAGCCCCTAGAGGCCACCTACACAGCCCAACAAGCCCACCTCCTCCCATTTGTCCCAACGCTTCGCCGCATTGCACCGCCCATGCAAGCATGCGGGGCGATGAGGCGAGGGACAGAAGTCGAAGATCTGGAGGCCAGCGATTTGATCAACGCGAATCGTCGGGCGTGCGAGCAGTTCCGCAAATCCTGCATTAACCTCGACTCCCTCACTATCACGACCAAGACCCCACTGACGGTTACCACCCTCGCCCCTTGTCAAGATTTTCACCGCGACCCCCGCTCCCCCGAATTCTCAACGGCCCCATTTAGGATCATGATTTGAGCCCCGTATCACAGCGATGACATCAACCTCCATCAAAGTACGTTGTGATTGTGACCCCTCTCGGATCGTGACCTTCACCCCCTTCGCGCTCATCTCACCGATTGCTTTCCCAAACCATTGGGATCGCGGCCCTGGTCTAGGCCATGTTGGGCCATGACCTTCTCCCAGTTGGGGGCCATGACGTATCCCCCCCGCCACCGACCCCACATTCGTCAACCCAATTGGGCTAATGGCATCCCCCGCCATCGAATTCCTCACCTTCGCCCTCGTTGCAGCCCAGACCTTCCCCCATGGCATGAACATGCCGATGGGCTCCATCCAGCCAGTGACACGCACTCCCCTCGTGGTCACGATCTTTCCGCACCGATGTGATGTCGGCAGCAACCGGGCAATGCTTGAACGCGGGACCAAGATTGAGGCGAAGCGAAGCGAGCCGTCAAGTCTTGTTTTGTATATACATATAGATATATACATATATATATACATATATAGACACACATATATACATATATATATATACATACATACATACATACATACATACATACATACATACAGACAGTCAGACAGACAGACAGACAGACAGACAGGCATACATACATACATATACATACATTCACGTATACATACGTACACGCCTATATATATAAGTATATACATATATATACACATATATATATATATGTATATCCGCCGGCCCCCTTTGCGGGGCCACCAGGCTGTAGGCCTAAGGTTCGCAGCTTCCTGTACCAGCTGCAGCTTCCAGTTTCCACTGTAACAGTTATGTTTCTTGCTGCTTACTGTTCCTTGTTGATGGACCGCGCGAATGGGGAGGCCCAAAACGGGCAGGTTTAGCACGCCCTGAGCGTGTGCTCTGAATTGCTGGGGCGGGTAAAAATTGACACACCTCACGCAGATCGGCAAGGTCAGGGTCCAAAAACACAAGGAATGCGCCACATTTCTGAAATTCGGTGGCACCCCTCACGCAGATCGGCGGGGTCAGGGTCCAAGAACACATGGGATTTGCCACATTGGTAAAATTTGCTGACACCCCTCATACAGATCGGCGGGGTCAGGGTCCAAAAACACAAGGGATTTGCCACATGTTTGACATTCGGTGGCACCCCTCACGCAGATCGGCGGGGTCAGGGTCCAAAAACATACGGGATTTGCAACCTTTCTGAAATTCGGTGGCACCCCTCACGCAGATCGGCGGGGACATGGTCCAAAAACACATGGGATGTGCCGCATTTCTTAAATTCGGTGGCGCCCCTGACGCAGATCGGCGGGGTCAGGGTCCAAAACACATGAGATTTGCTACATCTCTAAAAATTCCATCGCACCCCTCACGCAGATCGGCGGTCAGGGCCCGAAAACCCAAGGGATTCTCAACATTTCTGAAATTCGGTGGCACCCCTCACGCGGATCGACAGGGTCAGGGTCCAAAACACACGGGATTTGCCACATGTTTTAAAATTCGGTGGCACCCCTCACACAGATCGGCAGGGTCAGGGTCCAAAAACATACGGAATGCGCCACATTTCTGAAATTCGGTGGTACCCCTCACGCAGATCGGCAGGGTCAGGCTCACAAGACAAGTCAATTGGTTTTGCCGATTACGAATCGGCCTCGCATGAAGTTCCGATACTGCTTCACGACGGAGCCCAGGCCTCATGGCATAGCTCTCGCATAGCGCACTCTCCGAGATAGGGGGCCGGCGGCAGAGGGCAAGCCGTTACGGGGATATATACATATATATTATATATATATATATATATATAATATATATATAGATATATATAACATACATACATACATACATGCATATATACACATATACCTATACATCTACATATACATATTCAAATACATAAGTATATACAAATACATATTCATATACATATACATATACATACACATGTACATATACATCTACATATACCTATACCTATACCTATACCTATACCTATACCTATACCTATACCTATACCTATACCTGTACATATACATATTCCTATACCTATACATATACATATACACATACATATACATATACATGAACATATACATAAACATATACATATGCATATGTATAAACATATACATATACATATGCATATACATATGCATACAGATACAGATACATATAAATAGACATATACATATACATATACATATACATATACATACACGTGTACATACACATATACATGTACGTATACATATACATATAAACATATATATATATATATATATAAATATATCGGAGGTTGGGGGGTGAGATCGAAGTAGAACGGAGAGCCCCCCTACCAGGAAATCGATTTCGGTTTCGTGTTCGTGCGTGCCGTGCGGGCGAGGCGAAGCTGCGTGGGCGGGCGAGAGAAAGTCTCCTG